GGTGTGGGTGGCCATACTCAACCTCTGGCTCAGACTATCCCGTGCACCCTTTGGTCTTGCCCCACTAACCATGAAGGATGACTTCCAATCCACATGGAAGCAGGCGGTAGCATCAAAAATCTCCTCATTGGGATTTTCTCCAGGTCTACTACTCGCTATGGATTACAATCAAGCCAAAGCACTTATTAAACAACGTATCACAGACACAGAGCGACAACTAGATCTGGCCTCGGTTCCAACCTTCCTTATCAATGAAGACAGCAGATATCCTTGCCTCCCCTATGGCATATTTAACAAACTTAGAGGTTCCCATTCATCGAAGGGCTTTCACCCTGGCTCGATGCCACGCTCTCCCATCAGCTGTACTCGAAGGAAGGCCGCTACCAGAAGATCCCTTTCCCAGAGAGACTCTGCCCCTGTGACTCGGGTCATGTAGAAACAATAGAACATGTGCTCCTTCAGTACAGGGATATCCGTGCCAGGCTTATCTTACCTCTGATAGACAAGCACCCAGGCCATTCAGGACAATTTTATACCTCCGTGCTACTTACAGATATTAATTCAGCGACAACCTACAATGTTGCAAAGTTCTGTGCAGCAGCATACACAATCCGTCAGGGAATGACAAGTCCCAAAAGTTAACTGTGTGTCCAGTAATCTTCTTCCCTGAATCTACAATTTGGTGATGGATCTGGGCATCCTATGTTTTTACCCTGTTTCCCCTTCTGCTCCCTCACCCATACTGTGCTTCAGTCGTTATATTTATATATTTAATATACCAAACATACCAAGTTTGTATGAAAATGTGACTATTTTCTGTGCTGGTCAATGACCGAAATAAATGATTTGATTTGATTTGATATTCCATTGGTAACAACATTTCCCCTCTTTCTCCCTCCCCTTCCCGGGAACAGTTTACAAATTTTGCTGTACTTAATATGATTGTTCAATCATGAGGATAATCTTGTTTAATTCTATCTCAAAGTCATTTGAAAAGTTGACAAGGAAGAAGCTACTTTTGGCAGGTAATGGTCCTCCAAGAGTTTCTACATCTAGGTTACAACCAAGAAGGCCTTCCAATTTTTGTCCACACCCTGTATGTTGATCCCACTCACGAGCCACAATTAGTCATTAACGTCTGCCAAAGTGGAATCTAATTGAGGCAACTATTCATACAATTCCCAATTTACAGTTCTTAGAATGTTTTAAGTCTGGAAACAAGTTGAACCTTTATTCAGATAAGGAAATGAAAGTTTAGATATAAAAAGAAAGAAATCACTCGTAATGGCACAACTCTCATAACAGCACCAAATACACAAGTGACACCATTATATACTTACAAACCTAATCACAATAATGTCAAGTTTGAGATAAGAATGTGACAAATCTCGAAGCTAACAAGCCGCTCAATGATCACATTTCATGAAAAATAAAAGTTTTACCATCACAATTCAGTCAAAGAGCAGAAGAGCATTATAAAGAAGGGATGAAAAGGAAAATAGTTATAATTTTTAGAAGAAAATTAGCTATCCCTTCAGGATTTTTTTTTGCATCTATTTCAGGTTGTAATAGAATAGTAATAGAAAACAGCACCCCAGGGACATCTCTTTGGAGTCAATATAAGGCGTATTACAAGCACCCTGCTTCCTACTGCTATGACTTGAGCCAATAAAATAATGCTTCTATTATGTTGGCCCAATACTCAAGAAATGGTCAGTTATTTCAAATATTTGCAAGCACTCTTCTCATCTCTAGCATGCATACTTACCAGAGACATCTCCAGCTCATCCCTGTTTGGGTATCAGCCAGCACGTCAACGACTTAAATCAAGAAATAGTTTTCTAAGATCTACAGAGACACTTGCTGGAACACCTCAGCAAGCGAGAGTCCAAAAGTGGCAGGCTCAAACCCAGAACCTCAACCAATGGCTGATACCAAATGAGAGACTCCCCCCTGGGCATACAGAAAACTGGGCGACTTGGAAGGCGCTGAACAGACTGCGCTCTGGCACCACGAGATGCAGAGCCAACCTTAAGAAATGGGGCTACAAAGTGGAATCCACGACATGCGAGAGTGGAGAAGAGCAAACCACTGACCACCTGCTGCAATGCAACTGAGCCCTGCCACATGCACAATGGAGGACCTCCTTGCAGCAACACCAGAGGCACTCCAAGTGGCCAGATACTGGTCAAAGGACATTTAATCAGCTACCAAGATTGCAAACTCTGTTTTGTCTGTTTGGTAAAAATTTGTTAAAAATGTAATACATTGTCTGGTTGATACTGACACGATAAATAAATAGCTGAACATTTGGAAATGAGATCAAGATACATGACTTCCACATAAGGAAATGTTTTTGTAAGCAAAGAGGTATACTTCTTTACTTATTTTCAGAATATTCAAGGTTTTGCTGATGGCCAGTGTAAATAATATAATTGTTTTTTCTATGCCTTGGTTCTTATTTACTTACTTAGGTGATCCCCCTTTGTCCAGTTCCAGTATCAACTTCGAAGATGCCTGTGCATACATTTTTTTTTAACGTGTGGAGGTCAGTGCACGGCTGATCAAAACACAGTCTTCACAGAATATGGGTCCCAACTAGTGGCATGATTAACGTGAGGATGGTGGTTTCTCAATCCATAGCAGCCTTTTTCTGCCTTCTCAGTCATTGTAGCATGTACTATGTTGTTTTCCGCCTGATCTGCAGTTGAGGTTTTCAGATTGTGCTTGGTCTGGAACCAATTATGTGGCCCCTCCTGGGAGTAGAATCATAGAATCAAAGAGTTGGAAGAGACCTCATGGGCCACCCAGTCCAACCCCATTCTGCCAAGAAGCAGGACAATTGCATTCAAAGCACCCCTGACAGATGGCCATCCAGCTTCTGTTAAAAAGCTTCCAAAGAAGGAGCTTCCACCACACTCCGGGGCAGAGAGTTCCACTGCTGAATGGCTCTCACAGTCAGGAAGTTCTTCTTAATGTTCAGGTGGAATCTCCTTTCTTGTAGTTTGAAACTATTGGTCCACTGTGTCCTAGTCTCCAAGGCAGTAGAAAACAAGCTCGTTCTCTCCTCCCTATGACTTCCTGTCACATTTATACATGGCTATCATGTCTCCTCTCAGCCTTCTCCTCTTCAGGCTAAACATGCAAAAAAAGCCAATGGGATTTTGGCCTGCATCAATAGGAGTCTAGTGTCTAGATCCAGGGAAGTCATGCTCCCCATACTCCATTCTGCCTTGGTGAGACCACGCCTGGAATACTGTGTCCAATTCTGGGCACCACAATTCAAGAGAGATATTGACAAGCTGGAATGTGTCCAGAGGAGGGCGACTAAAATGATCAAGGGTCTGGAGAACAAGCCCTATGAGGAGCAGCTTAAGGAGCTGGGCATATTTAGCCTGAAGAAGAGAAGGCTGAGAGGAGATATGATAGCCATGTATAAATATGTGAGAGGAAGCCACAGGGAGGAGGGAGCAAGCTTGTTTTCTGCTGCCCTGGAGACTTGGACGCAATGGAACAATGGCTTCAAACTACAAGAAGGAAGATTCCATCTGAACACTAGGAAGAACTTCCTGACTGTGAGAGCCGTTCAGCAGTGGAACTCTCTGCCCCGGAGTGTGGTGGAGGCTCCTTCTTTGGAAGCTTTTAAACAGAGGCTGGATGGCCATCTGTCAGGGGTGCTTTGAATGCAATATTCCTGCTTCTTGACAGAATGGGGTTGGACTGGATGGCCCAGGATGTCTCTTCCAACACTTTGATTCTATGATACCTTCCACACCCGAATAAGTAACTTATAATCCACAATGGCTATGCTGTAATGTGTGTGTATATGTTAACTTTCCCTGTTTTTTTTTTCTTGTAAGAGTCAACTGATAAAATCACCACCGAACAGAGAATTTGTCCACCTCACTTAGCCAGAAAAGCTGAGGTCAAACATTTGTATAAGGAAAGAATAAACAAAGCTCTAGGAAAGCTACATTAGTTCATACAATCTTTAGGATAGAGAATTACGAAGGTTCAATTCCAACAAAACATGCTTATTGGTTCAAAAACACTAAGCAAAAATGATTTAAAGGGCTGGAGAGGGTGGGATTTACATGGGCTGGGGGAACTAACCAATTTTAGATCTATATGATGCATTTTTTTTTACAAAAACAGAGGAAACTTCTGTCCAAAACATGACACTGCTTGTATCCTTGATCTCAGAAAAAAATTAAGATTCTCTTTCTTTGAAATACAAACATGTTCATTGTCATGTTGCTGGAAAATGCATGTACAACACTGCAGAGAGCTTCTGCCAAACGCACACAGATAAAAGCATTCCACGTGACCCTCTTGAGCTTGAAAGAAGATTAACAAACCACAACTTTGCTTTCACCGGAATAATAAACTTGTCAATTCAGAGTTAATATGGATGAAATTGCCAGTATACTGCCTCATTGGATCAAATTTGCACACACATAAGCATATCTGTGTTTTGCCAGGAGTGCTCCTATACACAATTGGCTGCCCTGTTTCAACCACGGGCCATTTTCAACAACATTAACTTTCAGGTTTAGATTTAAATACAACCAATTAGTTCATATCATCAACTCTTCTTGCCTCGTGGGGTACACAGTATGTCATTAGGTATTAACTCAATGACACACACACACACACACAGATAGTTATGCACCCTTTGGGAAAAGGCCAAAAACTCTGAACAAATCTGGAAAGTCTGAAATGTAGATTGACTCTCAACTAAACAGCAATCTATATGCCTTGTTTAGAAGGGATGATAGCTCTGGACAACAGAAAATATTTATCTTTTATGCTTTTCTGGTCTCATGGTTTGTCTTAACAGAGTTTCTCAAAACCCGCAGGTATCAACAAGTTGTAAATGCATAATATAGTGCATGTCTTATAAAAGAAGCATTACCACATGTGAAAATGCACAAATGTTATCTCATCAAAGTTACCATTCTATTACTAGTTGGCAAAAATAAGAATTTCCCTGCCATTACCTTAGGGTTTTCCACAGATCCTGTTGGCCCAAGACTCTTCCACAACCTGCAATGTAAGAAGGAGTCACTGTTGAGGTCTTAAGAAACCCTTGTTTAATAATTATTATTATTATTTCTACAGCCCAAAGAAAGTTTTGTTATTCAACCAGGATATCTTGTGCAATCCTCAGAGACCTCTAAGAGAACCCAAAGGTTTAGGGGAATCCCATCTAAAAAGCCCTACTCCTGATCAATGCCTGTCAGCCAGTAGAGTGTGACCTCACAGGATGCTTATTAGGATTTGGAGAGTGACATATTTCCTCAGAGGAAGAGGAGGAGGAGGAGGAGATGACGGCGAAATACACAAGCATGTGGACAACCCTGCTATATGCCTGCAAAACGTGGACTGTCTACAGATGTCACATGCAACTCCTGGAACGATTCCATCAGTGTTGTTTCCGGAAAATCCTGCAAATCTCTTGGGAAGACAGGCAGACAAATGTCAGCCTGCTGGAAGAAGTAAAGACCACCAGCATTGAAGCAATGGTCCTCCACCATCAACTCTGCTGGACCGGCCACATTGTCCAGAGGCCCGAACACCGTCTCTCAAAGCGAACTCAAGAACGGAAAATGGAATGTGGATTGGCAGGAGAAGATATTTAAAGATGGGTTCAAAGCCAACCTTATGAACTCTGGTAAGCCCTGGCCCTTGAGCGCTCCATCTGGAGGTCAGCTGTGACCAGCAGTGCTGTAGAATTTGAAGAGGCACGAATGGAGGGTAAAAGAGAGAAATGTGCCAAGAGAAAGGCATGTCAAGCCAACCCTGACCGGGACCGCCTTCCACCTTGAAACCAATGCCCTCACTGCAGGAGAAGATGCAGATCACGAATAGGACTCCACAGTCACCTACGGACCCACCGCCACTACACTGATCTTGGAAGACAATCCTACTTGGACAACGAGAGATCGCCTAAGTAAAGTAAGTAATGGGAAGTGCATCTTGTTCTGTTTACAATATTCAGATCCCCAAGCTGTATATTGTTTAAAACTCTGTAGTTGTGTTTTTTTATTCACAATTCATACCGATGTTTAAGTCTTTGAGTTTTGTCCTTCTCCTTATCTAGGGAAGTAAACCTTAATAAATTTCATTCCCACAGGCAAGAATTAATAAGTTTACCATTTATCTCCTCACCACGAGAAAAAACATTGAAAAGCACACAACTTGATAAATAAATAATATATATAACTAACCGTCCCCTGCCATGTGTTGCTGTGCCCCAGTCTGTGAATATGTGTTTTGTATGTGTATATATGTGTGTTTACGTGTATATATGGGGTTTTGTGCATGCATTGTAATGCGGTATTTTTTTTGCTTTTTAAGTCTCGTCTGCTGTGTTTTTAAGTATTTTTATAAGTGATGGTCACTTGTTGGCTTGATAGGTGTATTGTGTCCAAATTTGGTGTCAATTCGTCCAGTGGTTTTTGAGTTCTGTTAATCCCTCAAATGAACATTACACTTTTATTTATATAGACTAGCCATCCCCTGCCACGCGTTGCTGTGGCCCACATGGGGGTTCTGTGTGGGAGGTTTGGCCCAATTCTATCGTTGGTGGGGTTCAGAATGCTCTGTGATTGTAGGTGAACTATAAATCCCAGCAACTACAACTCCCAAAGGTCAAGATTCTATTTTCCCCAAACTCCACCAGTGTTCACATTTGGGCATATTGAGTATTCATGTAGAGTTTGGTCCAGATCCATCATTGTTTGAGTCCACAGTGATCTCTGGATGTAGGTGAACTACAACTCCAAAACCAAAGGACCCTGCCCACCAAACCCTTCCAGTATTTTCTGTTGGTCATGGGAGAACTGTGTGCCAAGTTTGGTTCAATTCCATCGTAGGTGGGGTTCAGAGAATGCTCTTTGATTGTAGGTGAACTATAAATCCCAGCAACTACAACTCCCAAATGACAAAAACAATTTTTTGGAGTGAAGGACATACATTGGCTTGTTAGGTGTCTTGTGTCCAAATTTAATGTCAATTTGTCCAGTGGTTTTTGAGTTCTATTAATCCCACAAACAAACATTAAATTTTTATTTATATAGATTAAATATTTATCTGTGTGTATATGTGCCAGAGTTGATCAGTTAATTTAATCATTGATATGCTAAACAAAAAATAACTTAATTCTATTTTCAACAGATGGGAAAATTTAGTATTTAATTTTACATCAAACTACTATTTAAATTTATGTTAAATGTCTACACTAAAAACATTACTGGAATATCTGTGGGAAAATACTATACAGTAAGATTCTATTTTTGATAGACTCAATATCCATGAATCCACTTACCCACGCTCCAAACAATATTCCCTTCTGAAGTATCTGTGGACCTCTACAGGTCCTCCAGTAATATTCTATAGTCAAAATATAGTCTCCCTATTATCTTTGGCTTCAGGTGTCAATGGTGAGAGATCCTCTAACACAGTGGTTCTCAACCTGGGGTCCCCAGATGTTTTTGACCTTCAACTCCCAGAAATCCTAACAGCTGGTAAACTTGCAGGGATTTCTGGGAGTTGTAGGCCAAAAACATCTGGGGACCCCCGGTTGAGAACCACTGCCATTCCACATGTATATGAAGATCTTACTCTATTTATATCGCTCTTAAACAATCTCAAAGAGTTGTTTCTAATTTAAGAGAAATGAATACATCACCTGTGACGGCGCGAGTGGCGCCAACTATGTATAGAACTGTTAGTTGTAAGATTTAAACTGTTGTCATGCTTAATCCTGCCCCTTTTACCCTGCTTATGTATAGTTGTATGGATTGGTTGCTTGTAGCTGTCAATCAGTACTGTTTGGCTCCACCTCTTCCTGCAAGAGGGGAGAACTTCCTTTTTCTTCTTCATTCTGCCATCAGAGTTCCTGCAACATGGACGTGAGTAAAAGACTTGATTCTAAAGGACCCTGATTTAAGTTACCTCTTAGCACCAGTTCTGAGGTTTTTTACCCCTGGGACTCATGCTTTATGTCCAGATCGTCCTGGACAATTATTGAGGAGACCCAGGCGCCTTCAAGCCGGTTCTTTTGGCACCAAAGGAAGATCCTGAATCTTCAAAACATAGGCCATCTGAACTGGGGTTGTGGTTTGCTCCGGCATTCACAGCCATTGAGGAAAGAGGAAACTTGGTGAGGCTTCTCAGCTTCAAACCCCTTGGACCCAGGACTAATTGAGACTGTAACGTATGTTTTCCTTCACCCCTCTAAAGTTTTCCAGCTCATTGCTTTGAAGAAATGACTTTGTGATAAATAAAACTTATTTTGAGCTATTTACAGCGTTTTGGGTTTTTGGGAGTTCCAGTTTCCTATAGGAGGGCAAGAAGCAATCCCCTGGGGGAAAGATGCCACGTCCATCCCTCCTTTATTGAGAATAATAGCCCCCAGTCGCGACGGCACATCACCATACATTAAAAAACATATTTTTCAATGTAGTATTTAAGAGGGCCTGATCGGTCACCCCAAGCATCTATCGTCCTTGGGGACTGCAGGATTCCTGGAGCTACGAAGTAAAGGAGGAACTGCCAAGCCTGAGTATTAATCAATTCACGAAGTATACAAACAAACAGTGCCTCTTAGCTTCCAGCCCTTCAAATTAATCATTAAAGGCTTTAATAGATTAATCCACCCATTAAGCCAATTAAGTCTTGCAAATGTTAATTGTTATTAGTGTTCCCAGCTCCAAAGAGTTTGAACAGGTAAGTTCTTCAGAAGAGGAGATACAGATAGAGATAAATAATTTCCTTAAAATCTGCAGCAGTTAAATTAAAAAATTCTTATATTATTTTGAAAGGATTTGCAGGTCTTTGGAGGTCTCTTACTCCTTGCTTTGGCAAAAGACGTGATAGTTGAGGACTTCAAGGTCAGTGTTCAAACCACTTCAAGTTTTGGCCCAATTTCTACCACTCAAACAAGTTAGCATCCACAGGACAGCTCATGCATGGTTCAAACTTAAACCCACAAGTTATTTGCCAGTCTCCAGCAAGGTAGCTCTGCAGGTACAACTGCACCAGGAGCTTCAATTTTGTTTGCTTTGCATTTAATGTTTGTTATAGTCCTAATTTCAGGGACTCTGCAGATAGGTGGCTTCTTTTGGCTGCAATCATAGGGCAAGCCACCTGTCAATTATAGTTAGGTTCCCTGGTCCCGCCCCCTTTTCGGGTTTTTAGAGGGAATAGGAGCCATTTTGGGCTCAGTTCACACAGAGAAGCTTTTCATGCAGGACATAACTCCAAGAGCTCCTGTAGAAAGCTTTGTCTTCTACGGCTTGGCCGGGGAGATATACAGCCTACAGCTTGGCCGGGGAGAAAAGGTCCCACACCTTGGCCGAAGATTTTGCAGCTACATAGCTCCTTTGCTGAGGGGATCCGGTCCCACAGCACTTCAGCCAGCCATCACTGAAACCTGAACTCCTTCTTTTCCCCTGGAAGTCTACAAAGCTCCGCTTGGTAAGGGTCACTTGCAGAAGCCAGAAATAGTTGGTACCGGGTGCAGGGGCTCCATGCCAACAGAGGCAAAGACAGACTGCCCAGATTAGAAGTTAAGGATTTCCCCATTAGTTAGTTACAGTTATGAAGATAGTGCCTGTTCCCTGTGGACAAGATTGAGAGAGAGCCAATAGATTGTTAAGAAAGCTTTAAAGTACCTGTTTGTTTTCATTAATAAAGAACTTTGTTGATACTTTGAGCAATCTAGAGACTCTGTTTTAAGGAAATCCAAAGGCCTTTAATCTGAGGCAGCTCCGGTGTCCTGTGTTGGGCACACAGAATTTATGTCCTGTCTACAGTCTTATGCACAGGCCCAGTGTGCGACAGCACAGAAGCTACCAACTATCCTGGGCAAAAAAAGAGAAATTTCTGAGACACACTCCCAGGAAGTGTCTTCCACTCTTGAACACCTCTTACAGTCAGGACATTCTTCCTTATGTTTAGGTGGAATCTCTTTCCCACCACTTGAAACAGTTATTTTGTTCCTAGTTTCTAGAGCAGCAGGATCTAAACTGGCTTCTTTC